CCAAAAGAAAGGGTTGTCCTTTACTTCCATAGACAAAAAAAAAAAAAAAAAAAAAAAAAAATAAAAATAAAAATAAAAGATAAAGAATAAACCGTCCTATTTGTATTGAATCCAAGGTCAAGAGATGATGATTTAGATCAAATCTTAAAGTAAAGCTTCATTAAAACCTCCAATATTATTTTATCGATTTTTTAAATGATGAAGTTGTGATAGAAATTCATACATATTTGCATTTAAATTCTACTTTTTTTCTCTTGAGTACAACACCTTTCTTGATTGGAACAATTAAATGAGTGTCGAAAATTACTGGCCATATTCAAATAGCAATAATTTTACTATAAGTCTTAAATATCATGATTAATTTTAATTATCAAAGAAGTTTTATTAATGAATCCCTTCGGTTTCGCTGTTCTCGGGTATAAAATCAATATGACCCTTTCATTGGACAATGTTTACTTGTTTGTGTGAGAATGGGTCATATGTTTAATTGAATGACCAGGTCGTACGGTAATTGAAGGAAAAAGACATTAATTTAAAAACACATGAAACAGATGGAGCATTATATGAAAATATTTTTCACTGTTTCCACTATACTGAAAGGTAAGATCGTTCAACTCCTCTAAATATGTTCTGTATCCCATTCGTCGACAGTTTTCTGTTAAATTTATAATGAAATATATCAAGATATTCCAAAATAATCTCCGAATAACTTATATAACCACCCATTTTTAAACCCAAAAGCTCTACTTTAATTGCAGATAATTTTACGTGCATTTTATGTTTATTGCGTTTCCTCAAGATTTTACAAAAAATGCTTTTATATCAGTGCAGAAATTATAATTATTTTGCTTATGAAATAATTGAAATTATTTATCACAATAAAAATGTTTTGTGCATTTTTCCCCACCAAAACTCAAACTAGAGACAGACCCTAATAATCACTATAAAACCACACAAAAACAGTTGTGTATTAGGAAAAGAGTAAATAAACAAATTTTAAGATACATAAATAACTAATGCGATCTCATTACAAGCAACGAGTACGTCTTCCGTCCAATTACTGATAAGATCCTTATTGTTTAATTTTGTAAGAACTATAGATGAAAGGTATAGGCTCATAGGTATAGAAACACATAGGGGATAAAATCGATCAATTTTGAACAAATTCCGGTTCTTTTGCATTCACTTCCGGTATGATCGGAAGTACTTGAAACGACTGACCATTGCAGATCAAGCACTTAGTAATCCCTGAAAGTTTTCATTAAAAATATGCATTTTTACACTACTTCCGGTTTTGACGAACCATACTTCCGATGGAAATGGTATCATGACTTGAAAAACTCTCTAAGAATCTTTCATAACCAGCAACATTTACTAGAAAATGAAAAAATGAAAAAATGAGCATATTTTTAAACTACTTCCGTTAGACACCGAAAATGACTGCGGAAAAATATGTCACATTTACAAGGCAAGATCTATCGTCCCTGAAAGTTTCATGATTCTATCTTGAATCAAATTTGAGAAAACGCCTGGACAATATGTCATTTGAAAACAGAAAATCGGTCGTTACTCGCGACCGGAAGTGACGACGGTAAAATCACAAAAAAGATTCAAGTTTAATTAATTTCCCATTAATGCTGAAAGTTTCATGGAAATCTATTAATATCCTTCCAAGTGTTCAATTCTTTCTCGTTCTTGCTGATCTTCTGGTAATTATGAAGTGTTTGGTGACTGACACAATTTTCTTTCAGGCAATCATAAAATTCAGCAAGTGATTCATTGGTGATGTTCTTTATGGAAAACTCAGTTTTAAACTTACCATTCTCCAACACATTCTTTGAATGTTTGCTACTTTATTGTCTAAATTCTGGCCCTTGATGCCTATTAGGCTAAAGTAATGCTTCTTAAGGTCCTTCCATATTGGTAAACTCGTATATTTTTGGGGACATCATAAAAACCAAAGTCCTGCAATTTCATTTTGAATCCGGAAATAAATCTCACACCCCCTTTCTTACCTTTTCTGTCGTACCCTTCGGTGGATTGATCCTTAGAAGGGTTTCATTTCTTTGACAAACATTCAAGAGTTTCAGATTCTGTAATGTCCGAAGTTCCGTTTAAGTCCGTGGCGTCGACCTCTTCTTCAATTTCCTTGGTCGGCAGGTATGATTCATCTTCAACAGAATCATCTTCTTCCGACTGACTGCCAAAATGCCTTTTTTGTGCCTTCTTGAATTGTTCCTTTTCCTTACGCCTGGATCCGTTTTTCTTCCTTTGAAACCTCTTTTTCTGATAAATGCTCAGATTGATTCGATTCCTCGGCCCAGATGTAATGGTTCTGGCTCTTCATCTGAAACGATACGAACACACTTTTTATCTTGTTTTCTGGGCGGTGTGTCTCCAATACATCTAATCGCCATTTTCACAGTATTGGTGTTTTTTCATACTCACTAATGTTATGATGTACTCTGCATCAAGATATATGATTTAACCCTTAATAATTATGACCAAATTATGACCAAATGGTACCCCTAACAAGTTAGATTATATCTAATACTCCCATATTCTATACAATAAAAATATTAAAGATTTACTACTGAAAAAATGGGTATAATATGCGTTATACTGTTGAAGGTGAAAAATGGCTTTATCATTCAGTTTTTGTTTCAGGAGATTTATGATAGAAAATCCTAGTGAAAGATGCCAAATCATTGTGAAATTATCCCTCTTTTATAAGCAATTTACTGTATGTAATTCAACAAAATATTAAGTAATGTGAAAATGCAGATACGTAATGTTATATATAATTCTACTGTTTGAACTTGCAATTGAAAAAAAAAATACATGTATATTGATGCATTACTCTAACTTTGGGTTCATTTTAAAAATTGAGTTAACTGATAAATGAAATAGTATAGAAAAGTTTGAGTGTAGTCTTCGAAACTTGAGAAAATGACACATTTTCTTCTTACTAGCATAAAAATGTCCCAAAATTCTGTAGTGTCCGAAACATGTGTTTATTTTGGTATGCATTATGAATTACATTTCTTTTATTTTACATGTAAGAAGCAATACAGCTACTAATCTATCCACCAAAAATATCAGACTTTAGCTCAGTGTTTCTTGGATTTCTGGCAGATACACTGTGTTTTGTAGAGTCCGCAACAGCTTTTTTAATTCATAGTTTTTTCAAGGAAATGTAACATGATTTCAACTGATCATCACTATAATTATCCAAATATTCAATTCACACATGTAAGGTTACAAAACTTAGTAGAACTATAACTTCAGACTTAGAAAACACCCATAACCACTAGTTTATACATATAATTCAAATTACGCAAAATTTTGAGACTGGCATTTGACTTGTGTAACCCTATATGAACTAGTTTTACCATTATCATTATTGCACATGGTGTATACATCATTATATCAGAAGGAATTCATAGTGTGCTTTAAATGGATTATTTTTTATGAATTTAACAGTACCTATAACTGGTGGTATATAAGTGCATCATAATTATGGGGTGTCATTAAAAAGTCAGGTATTGAAAGGGGTAATGTAATCTGAAATGCAAATGGTAAGGGACTATAGTTTGAAAAAGGTCAAAGATCATTTGATGCCACATTCAAGTTATACAATGAAGTAAGCAAATCTCCGGGCGGTCATTCCCACTCCCTGGAACTGGAAAAAAAACAAATAGCTTTAAATAAAATCGAATGCCCCAAAATATCTTATTATGACATTAAATAGTATAAGGGGCCATGATCCCCCAAAGGTCTCTCCAGACACCCCCTGAAGCTACAAATGATCATATATCTTGAAAATGGTTGAACACTTTTCCCTTTAGCCATACATACTTTTTTTCCTTGTGTGTTTACAGATTTAATGGTATAAAGGTCATGGCCCATTGGAGGTCATCTCCACCTTCTGGAACTGGAAATGATCACAATAGGGACCTGCGTAAAAAGTGTATCAATGATAATCCGCTTGACATTTCATTCATGACCCACTAGAGTAAATTCACCCTCCTAGAATTAGAAATGAAAATCATTTAGAGACCCGCCATTTACTTTTGTGAACATTTTCTATACTGCAAGCATATTTACAATTTTTATTGTCAAAACAAAGTACTGGTTTGTATGTACATGAACATCCCCGGGGGCTGGGAAAGGGGAAAAGGGGAAGGAGTTATCTCTGTATGGTCTTAAATGCTAAAAAACTCCGACTTGTCATCATTACTTCCTCTTCTCATAACATACATGCTTATTAGTCAATAGATCATAGACTTTTGGTCGTATTCCTAGCTCTCCCTTTAATCAGGAATGATGATTTAAATATTTTAAGATGATTAAGAATTAAAACAGGTCTTGTACAATCTCTTAAAATTGATTAAGCTTTGTAGTTGAATTGGCCATACCGGTATAGCTTGATTTTGCTTTTCAGAACACCTGACTTAGCTTTTTCATCACACTTTTTCTAAAATATGCAGATGGTAATTTTTTTCCTCAAAAATCATTCAACTGAAAAGAAAGTATGGCCAACGGTATTGAAATGCATGTTTATGATATTATATGACATGTTTATAAGGTGTTCATGGCTCCCATAGGTTATTTTAAACCTGTGTCCAAACATCTCTTATCGAGTGAAACCTTCATTTTCCCAAGAATGAACCTAAAAATATTGCAACCAATTCTGCAGACAAAGTTTAAACATTTTTTCTAGTTTTCGTATAAAAACCATGTCCATCAAGGTTGCCATTAAATGAAATTATGGTTATCAAAACATCACATGTACAGATCTTAAAAACTTGGAAATAGAACTGTCTGAAAAGTCCCCAAATACCATTTTCATATGAAAGTATTCATTATAATAATAGGATCATTTGTTATTAAATCCTGTGTTTTCAGGAACCTCCTGTTTATCCTGCTTAGAATGGATTTCATCCCTGGATGGAAAATATCGGAAGCATTGTTACTGGTTCAACAGCTCCTCCTCTTTAATGACGGCATTTGAAGCAGACGAGTATTGCGCTTTAAGTGACGGACGTTTGGCGCCCTATATTGACAGCTACCAGTATAGCTTCCTTGTTGAGCTTCGCCCACCCACAGCGTAATTCCACTTTTCTATTTTTCTCCTTTCTTTTTTCGAAAAAAAGTTTTTTTTTTTTAAAGAATCCCTCATTGTAAGGTTGATAACAACGTTGAACTTTTGAATCTTGAATATCAACATCTGGAATACAATGAATATGTTGAAGTGAGTTGGAAATCTCTGCCCTCTTTTCTTTATCTTTTAACCTTTTAAAGAATCTCGAATCCGCGGGCATCTCTCAGTTTCTTTTTTCAAAGCTTGACTGAATTTTATTTATCGTAAATATTCATTACAATTCATTAATTTTCAGTGGTGACACATTTATAGGAACGACGGACATTATTGTAGAGGATACTTGGGTAAACTTTGATGGCAGTAGTATTCCCGGAAATGAATTTTTATACACGATGACAAATTATCCGATACATCAACCTAACGGTGGAAGCGCTCAGAACTGTGCTGTAATGAATTCAAAACTATATGGGGGAGTTTACTTCGACAATCGAACACAAGACAAATCGTGTTCCTTCACATCAACGGATATGCTGTGTTACTTCGAAGGTATATATTATTTGCTTTACCCTGCTTCTTCTTTGTGAATTATAAGATGAAGATAACGAACAGTGACCAATCTCATAAATCCTGTAAAAGAGAATCATGAACAAGACTAAAACACCGGAGGTAGGATCAGGTGCCTAGCAGGAGTGAACATCCTCTGTTGAACTGCCTCATCCGCGGTGAGTTTTATGTATTGATCCGGTAGACGGAGTACTCCGTAGTCAAATTTAGTATAAAGTTGGACAGATTGGACAGGTCATCATTAAAAATTTTTCAAGATAGGTAGGTGGGTAGTTATTTTTTTTTTTAATTATGCAACACATATTGATAATTGTCATAAAAACCACAGGCTTCGAAATTTATTGATGTTTTCATAATACACCGGGCAACTGGACAGATTCAATATTTATTGCTATAAGCGCCTTAGAGAAATGCAGAATCTTAGTTTAATGGCAATGCGAACAATTTGTATTCTACTGGAAACAAAATGAAACAAAGAAAGAAATAATTTCTTAATTTCTTGACCACACTGAATTTTTCAATTTTGAAATCATTCGTACAGTGATCCTTATGGTTAATACTAGTATTAACTGCATTTCACATGTATTTTATTGGTTACAATAAATTATTGCTATGAAATATGATTAATTTTTGTTGAAAACATATTTTGAAAATAGAACCTTTTTGAATAATTATATAAACAACTTCAATCTCATTCATCGTAAAATTTTGTAGATTTGTTGATATGAAGATTTATATGTACTGTCCGGGAAATTTCTTTTAAAGACCCAATTTTTTACCGTACGGTTACCTGAGGAGGGGGTGTGGTCTTGGTAGTGGCAATACTCAAGATGTCAAAAATCCATATACACATTGCATTACACAGGAAGTCTGTCTTTGATAATTAGGGTCAACATTACGCGTTTCTTGCCCTAATTTTGAGTGAAACTACTGTAAATAATTTATATACGTAACTATAAAATAAGTCAACTTATATAATGTTTTCATCGATATCTTTTAATTAAAGGATAAAATAATTAATAAAAGAAATATCATTAAAAAAATCACGAGTGAAAACTACAAAGCAATCATATAAATATTTTTTTAATTGTTGGTGAAAAAAAATCATTATCAATTAAGTGTAAATATTGAAATAAAAAGATTCAATTTATTGTGTGGATATAAATCATCGGAATATTTATTTCTCTGACCAACAATAAAGTCCAAAGTATTCACTTCTTCAATTTCCAGTGGTCCATGTTTTTATGCCCTGTTCACAGATTTGAATTTTTTTTAAAAGATCGATCACTGTTCGTTATCTTCGCCCTTTTCATTACGAATATAGACGTTAGAGAAAATCCGGACAATGATTTTGAGGCACAGGTTGAATAAGGGGTTCGGAAGAGTTATCAGTCTGTGCTGCCACAGGAACTTCTTCCCTCTCCGAATCCCAGTCCCAGTCATTGGGGGAGAAAAGGGCTCGAATAGCCGCTAGTTATCTTGAACGTCATATCTCAAGAATACAAGTACCAAAGCAGTGGAGATTGAAAAAAAATAATTCATGAAGTCAAGATTTAATTATATACTCTCAATTATTTTTTGAAATATAATTACCAAGCAATATTACAGCGATTTGATTTTTTTCCTACCAGAGTGTATACAAAGCGACTATTCACGCGGTACATGAAAGCATTTGATGCGTGACCAGATGATCGTTTTCAAAACATGCAAACTCAGATTATCAGGTAGCACAGGAAGCTAAACTGTCAGTCAAATCAGTAGCTATTGTTTTTTTTCTATGATTGAAAGGCGGTATATTTCTGATCCTGAATAACGAAGATTTTGGGGGGGTTAACGTAAAATTGGGTGTTTAATGTTCAATAATTGTACCTTAATCTTTTCCAAAACAAGATACAGTGTAAAATGGTATCAGCGAACAGGATTACAGTGAATTCTTTCTTCAATGAAGTCATGTTTTATAGCCATACAAAACAATGACACATTAGCAGACATGGAAAAGCTTTGATATGATTTACGTATTTACTACGTAGATCACATTTGTTTAGTACTGTTTTTCACACGATATTACGAATACATTACAGATATATTGCCTATATATACTAAAACTCAGTAATTTCTGTTGAATATTCATTTTCAAAATTCAGTTTTTTTTAAAGGGGACATGGATGCAGTTTTGATGTTTATATCCTTCAAAATTTTGGGTTGAATTTTGTGACTTACGTGATGCAAAAAGCGTTTCAGACTGATATAACATAAAACCTTTTATTCGAAAATTATCAAATTTTTGAATTTTTGGCATGTTTGCTTGACATTAATCCGTGCACTTTCACTTATTAAAATTCATTGTTAATATTTATAAATTCAAAAGTGTAAGAAAGGAAAGTCAAAATGAAATTGTAAGAGGGCAAAACCATCCGGCCATTAATCTTTTAATGTTCAGTGATGTGTACATTGTTAACGAATATACCCATGCAGTAATACGTAAACAGAACATGAAACCATGTTTACAAAAGGTTTTGCTGGTAAGTAATGAAGAATATCGTTGCCATGGAATGTCGACAATTTTCATGTTAGTCCAAAGCATTTGAATGAAGCTATTTTTGAAAGTAAATAGGGAAATTTAAAATTGTCAAAAAAAAAAAAAGAAAAAAAAAAGAAAGAAAGCAACGATGTCTATGCCCCTTTAAAGACTTCTTTTTCATGTTTCCTTTACATTATGATAGTTCAAGTAACCAACAACCCTAACACGGATAAAGACATCTTGTGATATTGTGTACATTTCCAGATTGGACCAATCTCTGTTTATCCTGGAATTCTACAGCCGACGAGAAATACAGACAACACTGTTACTGGCCGACGACCAAAATGCCCAACCAGACCACGTGGACCGTAAAGGACGCCATGGACAAGTGTCGGTTTGAGGGTGGGCAGCTAGCCCCCATCATAGATGATGATCAGTACTCCTTCATTATGAGCCGTCTCAGCTCTGTTGCCCAGTACGTATGTTTTGCTTAGAATTGCAAATTTCGAAATTCTCACATCAACAGTAAACTATCAATCATATTCCAAAAGTTGACTTGGCAACTTTGTAAAAGGTAAGAGGAGTTCTGGGAACATGTTTTCTTGCAGAAAAATATCTTTTTTCACCCCCCGACTGGCCTCAGGGGTGAAAATGAAATTTCCGAAAACTCATTGCAACCTACCTGTACAGGGCCCCGTTTTACTAAAGAACTTACGACTAAGACAAAAATTTAATTTTGTAAATAACCCTGTTTTTTAAATCAATTTGGAAATCTTTTTGATCTTTTAAAAGAGAATTTTGGAAGATATATTTATGCATACAGTTTTAGAACAGAATTGTTTATTTTGCAAGATTTTACAAGCAACTGAAGTTTTTGGTCTTAATCGTAAGTTCTTTTGTACATGTAAAACGGGCCCCAGGGCACCATATTAAAAGAAGATTTGGTTACTGCATAAAATGTAAGGAAGTTCTGAAAACATAATTGTCGTAAAAATACCATTTCTGACTCCCAAATGGCTCCAAGGGTGACTTTGAAAATTCCAAAACCTTATTGCACATCTAAAGAACATCATCAATCATATTCCGAAAAAAGGTTTGGATATTACGTAAAATATAAGAACTAGGTGTTCTAAGAACGTTGTTTTGTAGAAAACATTGTTTTTCGACCTCCTATTGGCCAAAAAGGATAAAATTAATTTGGAAACCTTATTGCACATTTACAGGACAGATGTACAGGATAGATGATATAGCTACTGCGTGAAATCTTGGAGGAGTTCAGAAAACCGAAGTTTTGTAGAAAAAGGCCATTTTTCGACCCAATTCTGTCCCTTATTGAAATAAAAAATCTGAAACCTTATTGCACGTATAAAGGACACCATCAATAATCTTTCAAAAGGTGGACTGACTTCTGTGTAAAATATAAGAGGAAAAAGAAATTTAATAGACGGACTGGTCAGAATAACAACATACCTGAACTTTCTTCAGAAAGTACAGGGTATAAAAATAGTTTAGCCCCCATAACTTGCTTGAAATAATCTTCAGAGTTAGAATAAAGACGTTCGAAAAGCTTGAACTTTACATGTAATGTACCCAGATATCGGGTTCTTTTATCAGTTTCCTTCTGTCTGGCACACTGTTATCCACTTCTCCAGTAGCATCACATTTATAGGCTGACAAGAAGAAAGAATGCCTGTATCTTACATCTACATTCATTATGTACAGCTGTTTCACTTATAATATATTAGAATACATCGCGAGATGCTCACGACAGAAGGTTAATATGAATCAGTTTCAGTTGTATCTATAAACCTCTTGCCTCCATATTTGATTAAACAACATTCCATAGATTTCTTTCATTTTTATCACACTGCATTTTAACACTTTAACAAAACATCAGCACAACAGGTATAAGCACGGAGTTGTGGTTTGGAATCCTTAACATCAAAGGTACCCCTATGAACTGGAATGGTGATCCTATGGAGGCTACTACAACCATTGCATCTCCCTCGGGAGAGTGGTGTTTTCTGATATCGACATTCGGAAGTCAGTTCTGGAGACAGTGCAGCTTCACAGATCCATCTATTGCCTATGGTGCTCTCTGCTACAAAGAGGGTGGGTATACAAATATTTCTAGGTACGAATCCAAAACAGGAAATGTGTTTATAAAAGATAACGCTACAAAACAACCCTACAAACAATACATTTGTGAATAGGTCATAAAACAACAGGCGCCAGGAAATTCCAGAGGTGGGATCAGGTGCCTAGGAGGAATAAGCATCCCTGTCTATTTTTCAGCATGATGAATCTGCGAGGGAACATGTGATTTTTTGTGAAAGGGCAAAAAGGAAAGAAAATGATTTTTAAAAAAAATAGAGTAACTATTATTTGTATCACAACAAACTTTAATTAATACATTTTATTAGCATTAAGAGGTTGTCAAAAACGTTCTCAACGATGACGCAAAATTTTTATCCGTGGTCGGTATAGAGCTCTTTATTGAAACATTGTTCAATTATTGCTGTTTTTTAGGTCAATACGATGATTTAGCCACCTGAAGAATACAATATTCAACGAGTCCGAAGTGAATATTGTGCTTCGAAAGTAGCCAAAACAGCAATAATTGTTGCAATGCCCCATGCATTCCCAACCCCCGATTCTATGTCCCGAATATTATGTTCGCCTGAGTGGAAGTCTGATGCATGTGAAATAACTTTCCAGAACTAATTTTATAAATTTGAATTTTTTTTAATTTTTAGTTCAATGTAGGAAAAAAAAATCCTTATGTTCACCTGGAAGTCACGTGCAGGTGAACACATACTACATAACGTAGTATTTTTCTACAATGTTGGATCTCACCCAATTAGAGAGCTAAGAATTATTCAATCATATAATAATTCCCAGTGTCTTTTGAAAAAATGCCAAATTTACCATTAGTCTTAATAATTTTTTTTTTCATTTGAGAAGGATTTGTTACTGATGCTGTAAGTCCTAAAACATCACGTAATGCCATAACACTGTCTGCAGAGGAAATAAAAAAAGAACTCCATGTTAACCCAAGGAACACCAAAGGTGAACTCATTTCAATATTATTTGCATAGATGATGCACAAATATTTTTCAATTATGTAATATGAAATATATGTTTTTCAATCATTTTTCATTTCCCATTTTATGCAAAGAGAACACTTGATTTTGTAGACAAAAACCATAAAAAAAATTATCCTTGAAAAACGTTTCACATTGACTTTATTGGATTGATTCATTTTATTCTGTTTTAATAATGAAATTATAAAAATATATTTCAAAATTTTATTTCTAGCGTATAAGCTGTCAAAGATAAGTGTATATGAGGATCGTCCTGTAGCTGTGAGTCTTGGGGTCGTTGGTATTGCTGTACTTATATCGGTGTTTGCTTTCGTCATCCTGTTAGACTGTCAACAAATGGAGAGACTCTGTTCCAAACAACAAAGGCCAACAAAAATTGAAACTAAAAACTAAACTCTGAATAAAACAGATTTACTGTGCTATTCAGGGAAGGATGGAATTCATGAGATTCCCTGGCAAGGTTCATGGATCTCCACATATTAAACATACAAATCTTTTTGGTTTCATCGTTGTTGTTTTTGTAGTTGTGAAAAAAAGTAAAATTCCAGAGAAAAACATTTCCATGTCTTCAAATGTAATGTTACTAAATAAAATTAGCATTATCTGTGATGGAAAAACATCTGATAAGATTAAGAATGCATTTGTCCTAAAATTTCATAAAGAGTAAGTGGCAGTAAGTGTATTTAGTTACATTATTTTGTTTTTTTTTTTTTATTTGATTTTTAAAGCAACATTTGTACGGAAGAATATAGTAAGCATATTATAAAGAATGCAAGTCGCACTATCTTTATATAGTTACCGGGTATATAGTTCAATCATGCAGGCTTGGTGACTACATTTTATGTAATAGGTAAATCATTGTCGAGTTTTGTTTGTTTTTTGTTTTTTTTAAATATCATTGATTATAATATCTGAAGATGGTCAATACATGTTAAAAATTGAATCTTGTTTAATATTCCCGTTTTTTGGATAAAAGTGAAGCATTTTGCGATGTAATGCTTTGCTGAGATATTTCTGAAAGAACCTCGTTTAATAGTAATTCCCGTTTCTGGTTTTTAATAACTAAAAATATATCTATTTCACGTACGATATGTTTAAAGAGAACTTGAACTGACATTTCTAATGTGGTTTTCATTTTATATTCATCGAGAAATAATGGAATTGATACACTTAACGTCATTCATTCCATGGCTATTTGTCCATTTGATGCATTCCTCTTTATATTCTTTAGATGCTTTCATTTTTCCTTTTCTCATTTCACTGATAAGCTTTGCTGTTGATATTAATGTTAGGAATGTGAAGTAGTTTGAGTCGTATTTAGTCATAAGATCTGTACATGTACAATTAAATGTATATTACAACTACATGCGTTTCATCTTTGGCAAAACTGTACATGTACAAAGTCAAAATGATACTGGTAGTTCTATTTTAGTCATTTAAGGACACATAACACCAAAAAAAAAAAAAAAAAAAAAAAAAGATGCATGGATTGATATATACTTTTTAACTGATTTTGAATAGAAATGACATAAATAGTAAATCCCTGAAATGTAAAGAATTCGCAAGTATTTTTTATTGCTAAAATATGCGACTTTATGCCCGTTTCCATGTAAATCTATACAAAATTTTGGACATATTTTTCAACATTATGACAAAATCTTGATAAAATTTCCACACTTACCCTGGAATTCATTATTCAGGTTACCTATATGAATATAGATCTACAAGATATATTGCTGATTTCTGAAAAAAAGTTTGTGTTATTTATCTTTAATTAAGGTTCATATCGGCCATCGTTGTTAAAGCTATATATGGCGTATCTGAGCTAAAAAAAAAAAAAAAAAACGAGATTAAGTGTAGATGAACATGATATTTGTTGTTTATGTTCAAATTAAAATTTTCACCGATTTTGAACTTGAATAACCCCACGTTTCTAAAGTTAAATTGACTTTAAACTGTGTCTGATATTTAAATGCGGATTCGGTAAATAAATCGGTTATTGTTTTAAATTTCTAATATCTATGAAACGCGATTGATTTAAATTGTGCAATTTACAGGAAAGTCCTATCTTTATATAAAGTAATAAAACAAATAGAAAGATCTTATTAATTTTAGTTAGTCTGAACTTATAAAAAAATACACCACATATGACTTTAAACCATGTATGACAAATAACACATTCTGTGCATTAGGTAAACCATGCAACTATTAATTATGTAATACGCAAGTCATGAGGGACACGTGTCTACACTCCTTACGTAATTGTAACCCACATAGCTGCATGTACTATTACACTTCTTTTTCAAGACAGACATATTACCGATTTACCGATCTTTTTCTGCCTACTATGTAAGCATATGCATAGTTGAAATGTTAACCTATATCAAGGTTGAACATATCCAAATATTTATTTTAAATCTTTAAATATTTATGAGGAACTGCATAATGAATGAAACGCAAGCAAAATTTGTTTTTATCTTGCAGACAGGAAAAAGTTTTGTTTAATTAAGCGCTATGTTGCATATTCAAGGATGTACGAAATGATTTCCAATTCAGAGAAGTCTAAGAAAATTCTCTATCAAAGCTGCGTTTGCTGCTCCCCGCTGTAGTTCTTTCTAACACTTTTAAATGGACTACTAATACTTCCTTTTTAATTGTTTACAATTTATGTTAGTATTATCCTATGATATAAAAAGACTGGGGTTCTTCAGAATCAGATTCAAAAAAGACATTAATTTCAAAGCTTATGATACAGATGGAGCATTATATGAAAATATTTATCACTGTTTTTACTATACTGAAAGGTAAGAAATTTAAAAACCTCCCTCAGATATACTACGTGACCTTTTCAGAGACTTATCTATCAGAATTCATTATTTGCATATGTAAATTGATATGTAAATTTCTTAAGATATGGTAAATAACTTTCATCCATTTTTATTCCCAAAGTCCTACTTTGCAATGCATGTCATTTGCATGTAATTCATATTCATTGCTACGAGGGTACTGGTTGTGTCTCAGAAAACGCGAATATTTTCAATATTATTTGTTTTACTAATACTATAAAGTTAAAATATTGGCTGTGCATATAATCGACAATTTTTAAATACTCAGTACTACATAGAAATTTCAATAAAATATATTTATAAATAACACTTTTTCTCAGTAAAACGAATCTTGAAAAATAGCTGTCTGCGCAACACTCGTAGCATTGGAATCGTGCGTCTTTATAAAATTCGTATGAAGCATAAATTTGACACTGCATTTGGTTTTCTGTTAGTAACCGAGTTATTCATCTCACACATACACAGGTAAAATTGCAACGTATGTTTAACATATGTTGAACATACGTGGCAATTTCACCTGTGTACTAGTTACAAAAAGATCGAAAAATTAATTTTTTAATAGAAAATTTCTCAACCCTGATCAAAAACAATTGCTCGCATAGTTAGACGGTGGTCTCCAAGTATGACGTCGGGATCCTGTCTTTTCAGTTTGTCGTTATTTTTGTTGGTCTACCAAGGTTTCCTCCATCAGAGCTAGTCTCCCGCGTGGTGCAGTGGTTAGAGCGTCTGCTCTAGAGTCGCGGAGTTGGGAGTTGATCCTTACGTCACTGGTTCGAATCCCACTGCGGGACGTGGAGACCGGTCCTTCGGATGAGACCGTAAAAACCGAGGTCCCGTGTCGCAGTAGGTGTTGGTACAAAAAAGATCCCTCACTGCTCAATGGCCCTGAGTGCCGAGTATAGGTCAAAATTTGCAGCCCTACACCGGCAAGTAGTGGCGTCTCCATATGAGTGAAAAATTCTCGAGGGAGACGTTAAACAAGATTCAATCAATCAATCAATCAGTCTTCCATCAGATAACCAGTCCAGCCATCCCTTCACCTCTTTTGCCAGGAATAAACCAGTGTCCGAGACATGTGTTTGTGCCGTTCGATCGTTTCCATCTCTTTTCTCTTATCGACAGGAGTCGTACCCTTCTCAACACAGCACTGCTTCATTATTTGATGCGCCGCATTATCGCCCAATGTATCAGATTTTGACAATATCTAACGAATAGTGTTTATGCATCTAACGTCATATTTTTTGCCATTTATGATGTAAAATTGCACTAATATAGAGACGCACCGTATGCTGATGAAGGGCTTCAAAGTAAGACCTAAACTCGGCACTAAGGGCAATTAAGCAGTGAGTGTTCTTTATCGTGCCTTAGTGTACTTTGCGTGAAATAAAGTCAATTTAAAAAAAGTTTAAAGATACATTAAATGAGAGATAATTTGTCAAAATTTAGAAAACATACGTATTGTAAAATTTGAAAAAGTTTGTTTATTGATATTAAGTTTTCAAAGATTGATGGAATCCAGTTATAACTGAAGTTCAGAATATTGGAAAATATCGGAAACATTGTTACTGGTTCGAGCGTTCCTCCTCTTCAATGACAGCATTTGAAGCAGACGAGCATTGCGCTCTGAATGGCGGCCGTTTGGCTCCATATATCGACAGCTACCAGTACAATTTTATCCTTCAGCTGCGACCACCCACATCGTAAATCAACTTCCCAATTGTTCTCTTTTCTTTTCCTTGAATTTTTTTTTTGTGAAAACACCCCCGTTTGTGTATATGGTTCATCGAAAACAATAAAAAAGAAAATGCGTTTGTGAAACACTGATGCCCCCGTATGGCAGCTTATGACAAAGGTTAAAGTTTCTCATATGCACTTTAACCTCCAAGTTCAAGAGATCAAAAAAAAATTTTACCCAAAGAAAAGTCTTGTGTCAATGTACATACCTGGTAAATATGAACGCCCAAGCACCAACCATTCAAAAGTGCGTCAAACTCCAAGGCTAAGGTCAAGGGTCAAAATTAATAGTACGCAGGGAAAGACCTTGTAATAAGAAATATATATGCAAAATATAAAAGTTCTAGCACCAACTTTTCAAAAATTATGGCGAAGGTTAAAGTTTTCAAAAGTAGGTCAAACTCCAAGGTCAATGTCAAAAGGCCAAAATTGTTGGTATCCAAAGAGAGGTCTTGTCACAAGGAAAATACCTGTGAAATTTGAAAGCCCTTATTTTAACTGTTCAAAAGTTATGGCCAATGTTAAAGTTTTTTAAAAATGGGTCAAACTATAAGGTCAAGGTCAAAAAGTCAAAAATACTTACATCCATGGAAAGGTCTTGATAGGATGAATATAGATTTGAAAACCCTAGCACCACATGTGAAATATGAAAGCCATAGCTCCAACCAATCAAAAGTTATGGACAATGTCAAAGATATTGCTTACAAACAGACAAACAGCTAGACAGACAGACAGACGGACGGACGGACAGACAGGGCAAAAACTACATACCCCTGAATCTTCGATTATGGGGGCACAAAAATTGTCCTTTTT